GTGTGTGTGTGTGTGTGTGTGTGTGTGTGTGTGTGTGTGCGCGCGCGCGGGGACCTGTTCTACCCAGAGTGTCCACAGGTAAGTCCTGTGCAGACGTAGGTTTTATGTAGGAATATGGTTATTAGACTGAGTTTGATTAATCTACATTTTGCCAACAAGAAAGTGTTCTGTGACAGGTTTTAAGATTTGGGAGCTTGACTCGTTTTAACAAAAAGAAATTTAAAGATGGCTAAATGAAATGAGATCAAATATGAGAAATAAGACCTCACAAATTCAAATTCAATGACTAATATCTTTAAAATTGAATTTAAGACATTTTAAGACTTTCTAAGGACCTGCAGACACCCTGTCTATCTGATCGCTTTCATTAATGTGTTTAGCTGCTCCTCCAGGTGAAGAGGGGGCTCAGAGCCATCACTAATAGCTGTAATAAAGGGCAGGTTATGAGCTCAAGACAATCTGTCCGAGATATTTGAGTGGATAGCAGATGAGAGAGTGTTTTTTTCTGCTATCTGCTCAAATAAGCGACAATAATCTGTCTGGCCGAGCCAATACAGGAAAATGGGGCCTCATTACTGCACTTAATTACATAAATGTCAGAGGAAGTCTGGTGTTTATTTCAGGAGGTATAAAAGCAGGATCTGTAGGTATGTGAACACAAAAGAGATAAAATGGAGCTTTATATTTTAGCTCTTACATCAGCTCTGTCTTGTGTATGTCTGCAATCCGACGCTCGAGCTTCTCCGAATGTTTCGGGAAGAACTGGAACTTGGAGCTGTAACCTTCAGGATGCTTCCCGGGGTCGTAGTTACCGATCTCAGCTGGAGCGTGGGGGGATCAGAAAAAGCAAAATGTTAAACCTATTCGCAAACATTCAGGGCAAATAAAAGTTAAAATGATGTCTACAGCTTTCAGCACAGTGCTGCTTTATTTTTGCCAGTGGAGACAGGGTGAACATGCCCAGGATGATTTGTGTTCCTTCATGCCACGCTGCACTCCCTTAGATGACCCTTGTGTTGATTTCTCTCTGCGAGGAGGAGCTGACCAGGCAGCCCATCTTTAATTCATCAGCCCCTCCTCCAGAGGACCTGCCTCTCCTCAAACACTGAGCTTCCTGGGATGCTAGCTGTGCCACCATACCTCATGTGTGTTTGTTTATGTATGTATGAGTGTGTGGTGAAAGGACGATAAGATGCCAGATAACCACTTCAAAGACTTTATAACTGAGCGTGGCGTCTTGTTTATTAATGAGTGTGCAAGTCACTGAACTAATTATCATACAAAGTACAGGATAACCTTTCATTTTGTACACGTTTTAGAGTCAGTATCAGTATTGAAAATCACACCCAATGCACAGATCTTATGTATTCATACGAAAACACTGCAGGCATATTCTTTGAGGAACATTACGCCGCACACTCTATCACCTAATTCAGCTTCTTTCCACACATAAATATCTATACGCCTAGCAGGCAGCATTTATCAGACTAGTGAACTACAGGGCATGTTAAAACAGAGGTCGTGAACATATGCAAAGCAGAGAGTGGTGCAAGTCATTTCCATCTGTCACCCTCCATTACCTTGTAGGATGTGGGCAGCCAGCATGGCCGCGTCCGAGGTTTTGCACAGGAGCCGTCCGTGGTAGAGGTCTCTCTTGATTTGCAGGAAGACAAGATACCTACAAAGAAAAGGACAAATCACGTCAGACGGCCTGACAGGCCTGCTTATGAGAATACTGATGATATACATAAATACCCCCAAACCACTCATCCAGTTACGTTTCTTGGTGGAAAGAAAAGAAAAGACAGAAGAGGAGCAGCAAAACAACAAACCTGATAAACCTCAAAGGCTGTTGAGTTCACATTCCCTATGGGTGGTTTGAATATTTCTTTTTGATTTAGCTGAAATGAGGGTTTTGTTTTGGGGAAAGGAGGGTAGGAAGGCCCAGAGGGAAAAGCTGCTACTGATGCTGTGCTTCTCTTAAAGCCTCCAGCCTAGTTTCAGACTCACCCAACCAGTCAGCTCCCTGAAGCATGAAATTTACTCTGAGACAATATCTGAAGTAAATATCACGATGGTGATGACTATTACTATTGTCATTATTGTTATTAGCACTATTAGAGGTGGGCTTATTATAACTGTTACTTCACAAACCCCCAAGCCATGAACAGGAAATAAGACATTGGTCTCTTTGTTTCTTACAATCAGCCAACAGACCTGTTCTCTCTATCTAGGCCATTTCCACAAAGGCTAATAACGCTTTCTGTGTAGAGACATGCATTTAAAAGCTGCTTACATTTCCCACGTTATTTACTCCGCAGCAGGTTCAACAGAGCCTTTTGAAGGTGTGACGAGTGCCAGTGTAATTTAATTGGTACATATTCAACAGCCATTTAGTGCTGATGTTTTGACTGTATTACAAAACATCTGTACAATACAAACATGCACTCACAGACTTGAGACAAATTATGTGCACCTTTTTTATTTGTGTTTCTCTCTTTTTTCCCTCTTTATTTGGAATTTTAAAAAATATATTTTTTAATTTGTTTTGACTAAAACGGGGATATTAGTTGTTGAGCTAACCCCAGTACATTATCATTAATGTTTTTAAATTGTTGATTAATGTGCATTGTCACCCAGTAAATGAAGAAAAATGTCCATATTAGTTAGTACTTCTTAGTTTTTCCCTTTTCTTTGTATGTGTTTTATGTTTTTTTGTTTGTTGTTGGGGGTTTTTTGTCATGTGGATCTTCTTCACAGGTGAACACCTGCTGTCACACATCCTCTGATGAGGGTTTAAAGGCAAAACATGTCGGCAGTTTTGTTGGTTTATTTTTTTTTGGAAAGAATTAATAAACAAATAAATTAACAGATTATTTTGCTTTTTCTAACAACTGTAGTGGCACATTTGTCCCAAATTAGTTTTGGGGAAACACACAAAAGCATGTTAAAAAATATTGAATAGGCCTTATTTACTGAGGACATTTTGACATGTGACAGTAGACAAAGCACAGGTGTATAATACAATTAAAGCTGGGGTAGGCAATTTAGTTTTGGCTTCATTAGGTTAAAATCCCATAATAACCTTTAAGCATACTGTAATTTAAGTGGTCTGAAAGAACACTAAACTTCTACACCTTCGCTTGGCTGTTTTCAGGCATTAGTACGCAGTGTGCATGCACGTCCCTTTAGTGAAAGCTTGATTAAATGGTGGAAAATCCTGGAGAGAAAGTTGCTATTCCAGCATTGGCACTGTAAAGCAACCCAAAAAGGAAGACAGACTTATCAAAAAAGAGTCTAAAAGAGAGTGTGACGTGTGATATGTGTCATTGTCTGCAAAGCAAACAGTTTAGCCTCTTGCTAACCAGATAAAGGGACACGGCTGCAGCTTCAGGTTCATGTCTGTGTAGCTAACATTAGCTAGACCCTCATCACATTGTATTCTCCGCCTCACTCCCCACCTCTTAAGACCACCTAAGCAAGAGGAGAGCAGGCAGCAGCTCTGGAGACGGGGGGTGGGGGGGGGTTTCTTCTTTTTCATATTTCTGCCTACTCCAGCATTTAATCAAAGGCTGAATTCCATGTAGCTGCTTCGGTTTCAGTTCTGTCACGAGATGCTTCAATGGAAAGGAGTCATTGTTAATATTATTAGTAACATCTGTGCTTTTCCTACTATAACAAGTCTGCTGTGAAAAGGCCGCTAACACCAAAAGGCAACACTATATTTAATTGAAAAGCAGACTTTTTTCAGCGTCTATAGAATTCTTCATAATGCATTAACATGCTGTCCAAAAGAAAATCCTTGCACAGTGTGGCGAGCGGGAGCACGCACTGAATGAGCCTTGTATGTGATTGATTATTTACCCTCTCCCTCCCTCTGTGGTCAGCCCTTTCCACTCTTATCATCATGTATCACTCTCCCTTCTCCTCACCCCCCCCCCCACTCCACAGCCTTTCATTCGCCCTTCTTTTTCCTCTCCACTTTCCATCAGTACCCTTTGCCCCCTATCTCCTCTGTGCGCCTGTTCATTATGTACCCTCTACATGTGGTGTACATTTCATCTCATTACACCTCAGAGAGAGAGAGTGGCCTCCTCTCACTCTCGGCAGTGATGAATGTATCAGTAAACTACATGCACATGTATACCAGCTGGCTGCGCTCAGCATTATCTGGAGGGAGTGTAAACGCAGCGCTCTTCACACTTTTAATTTGTCACTTTAACCTTTCTGCAAATTAATCAGCAGCACATTTAGGAAGATTTACCATGAAATCAAGTGTGTGCATTTATATACAAAAACTAGAGTGAGGGCTTTTACATTTCTCCCTGCTTCACAACTCTGTGTTCTGTGTAATATTTATCATAAGTACTCAGGCAATTTAATTATGAAAGCCCCTAAATAATGTTTTAGAAAGAGACTTGTTTGCTCTGTTTAAAAACTTTATAGCACAATCTGTACCACAAGGAAATCTGGAAAAAAAAAGCACAGCTGCTTTGCACAGGTTTGTCAAACGATGGCAGTCTTTCTTCCATACTTTGAAAATGAAACAAAGGTGAGCTGTAGCCGCGCAAGAGCCCTTATCAACTCGTCTGAAGTGAAAGCAACAACAGGAGGTCGTACCGAGTGATTTCCTCCTTTAGAGAAGCAGGTTCAGGAGGGTAGAACTTGACTCTCAGACACATGGTGAATGGAGGCTGAGCTGGAGGAAACACACACAGAACATTCAAGAAACAGACAGGAATGCTTTCATTGTAAGAGATCAAACAATCAACAGGAGATCGAGGTCAACAGTTTAGAGACTCAGACATGAGCAGGATTAAAAAAGTACTTCAGTATCAAAAAGCATATTTGGGCAGCAAGTAGTTGTTTGTCTTGATCAGTCCCCTACTGTATCCCTTCCTTGTGTCTTTTTGTTCTTTACTTATTCATTTGTTATGATTATAGTTCTCTCGTTTCTGCTCTTTTCACCATCTTTTCTTAAAAAAAAAACAACAAATAATTCAAATCTTTATCTTCTTTGTGCAGCACTGTTATTTATTTGTGAATATTTACTGTACTATCTTATCAATATTAATTATGTTGTGTATATTGATTTTATGCAGAATTGTGTTATTCAATTTTTAGGGCCAAGGACATTTATGGTCATGTATTTGTGACCGGATCCTGTTTTATTTTAAAATGTGTTCTCATTGTGTTTAGTGTTTCTTTTACGACTACTTTACTTCTTTTACTTTTACTAAGTTTTTTCACCTTTGTTGATTACCTCATGTGTTTCACCTGTGTCTTGTTCCACTCACCTGTGTGTAGTTAGCAATCAGCCCTAGTGTTTTCCCCACACAGTCGCCAGATTGTCATTGTCGCCTGAGAGTGTTCATGCTTTACAGCCTTTTCCTTGTGTTTGATTCCCTGCTTTTAGACTGTGCTTGGCTTTATGTTTGTTTTTTGTGTGATTTTCCTGAACAGATTTTTCTGCCTACACATGTATGACCCCTGACCTCCTGAATAAAGACTTGGATTTGATAACTGTTCTTGGTGTTTGGTGTTTTTCTCTGCAACTGAGTCCCAGGTTTGCACTACATCGTTACATATCCCTGCCGTAAATACATCCTAAAAATAATTAAACTACTGATTTTTCAGTATAGATTAATCAAAATGTTTACTCTGTAAAATGTAACAGATAATATTTGCCCATCACAAGGTACAGAAGTTTTTTCCCCCTAATTAACAGTTGGAAAAACCTATAAAAAAATTACTTCACAATGATGCGAAGAGCAAGGGAATTGGAAGTGTAACGGTATAAAATGTACTTATGCAAAAAAGCCCCGTGAATCTTTTATTAATAGACAGTATATTATATCACTTTTCATCGCAGCTGTTACAGTATTTGTAAGCAGCATTCAATGCTCTAGTTGGTCAAGATGGAGCTAATCTTAAAGGGAAATGTCGTTATTTTTCATCCTGGACTCTATTTTCACATCTTTGTGTCTAAGTGACTAATGGGAACAACAAATCTCAAAACTGGTCCAGTATTAAGTACGAGTGTGAATACTGGGGACAACAGCATACTGTCAATGTACTGATGCATTCAAATGGGGTTGTGTTTACTGTGTTCATGAGGAGAGTCCATATGAACACCTCCCTGTTGTGATTACGCCCTCATTACGTGGAAATTTTCTGAGAGCTTTGATTTCACAAGTTCGTGTTCAAGATTTGCCGATGTCGTAAACACAAGCTCGCAAGTTCCATTTGAACGCAGAATACATCCACTTTAAGTGCTTTTTTTTGCCACACATAGGACAATTCTATGGATCAAATGTACATTAAGTCGTTCAACAGTGCAGACCTCATGTTGAGACTGAGGGATTTAATGGCCCAATGTTCAAGATTATAAACATAAACTCAAAGTACTTACATTTCATTTGCTTTGCAATTGATTTTGAGAACTCCAGCCAATGCTGCATTAGAGAAAAAAAATGAATGCAAATAATCACAAAATGTCACAAAAAAATAATCTCTGACTAATCAACACATCAAATCATTCAGATGACACTTTCAATAGCAGTTGACGTGATGTTCAGCTGTTACTACTGACAGTTTTCTGGGGAAACCTGTTTGTGTCACACACGGTGTTACAACAGCGCTGTCTGAGCATTATGTAAAATGCCAAAGCTGTGTCGAGTATCATAAATTTTCAGGGTTTTCTTTTGAAAATGTGATGGCGGAGGTCTCTTGAGACGCTGTAAGAGCAGAACGGCTTAATAGACAACAGGTTTTGACATAACGGTGAGCTCCTGCTGGTGGTGACAGTAGCACAGGCTCTTTGTGTCTACGGCCAGATTTAGATTCTTCATTCTCCCTCCATCTTTCTTCCAGGTTTCCTTCTCGCCAGCCCAACCCACCCACAGCAACAACCACCAAAATAGTCCTGAGTGACAGCATAGGAAATGCAGCATCAGCAGGCCTTGGCTCTTGTCTGCAGGACTACAACATGATCTGTGAACATGTGAATACTTCATGAATCAAGCAGTGCTACTACATGGCTCACAGCAGAGGAGCCTGATGGAACAACCGTCAATCTGAAAGGCGGCGTGAATAAGAGAAGCTGAAGAACACAACTTTTCACTCAGGTCCACAGTCTCATTCTTCTGGCTAAATCAAACCAGATCCATTTTTAAAAATACAGCCACATGTGATTTTTTAAAACGGACAGAAAGCAACACAGTTATTTGCACCTGGAGTCATTCTGAGTTCAAATTCAACCACTTCTACTTTTAAAGGGGACCTATGAAGCTCATTTTCAGGTTCAAACGCTCAGTTTTAGCACCTGTTCCCTTAAGCCCCCCTCCTGGAGAACCTCACTCTACCCTGACTGGTTGATGTTTCTGGGTCTTCCATATTCATGCTCTTCAAGTCCCCAGGAACAGCACTAGTCTCTGAAGACACTTTTTGGCAAAACCGTGGAACTACAATTTCCAGGTCCGTCTTGTGATGCCATGCGGCCCAAAAAGACTTTCCTTCCATAGGCTTACATCATAAGAATGACGTCTTTAAATCTGTGGATAATATTTTTTAGCATCACAACCCAGGCGGATTGGCTATCTGGGTTTGATCCATTTGGTCCGATGACATTTTGAAAGACTAGAAGAGCTGCACTATTAAATACTACTACTACTACTTAAATAATGTTATCTCCATTCAAGTTAGTGGAGCACTAGACTTAAGTTAGCCGCTGGTCCAGCAGAAGTCTCTAATATGCTTGCCCTATGGGTTCAATGATGTTGAGCAGAGTGGAAGATGCAGGTAATTTTACACAAGTCTAAATTTTTTGGCTTCATTTGCCACTGAGCAAATTTTATAGGAATTATTTTATACATCCATGGTGCTCTCAGCCACCGACTTGACGTCTCTGCAGCCAGGGGAATGACCGTACTGGATAGTAGTACTTTCTACTGTGAATTATTCCCAAGACAAAATCTTCACAATCTGTAATATTCTGGCAGGAATATGATCAGAAATCAAGGTGAAATAAACAACATCAGCAACCAAGATTACATGTTTCCCTGAAGTTAGCATGTAGCTACATGTAGCAGTGTAGGCTACATAACATAAACACATGCAGTAGCCTGCCTGGTGCAGACGACCACATAAAGAAATCAGCTTGTCTCGAAATTAGAAAAAAAAAAAAAAGGTTGGAAAAAGTTTTAGAACCATCTGAAGCTTGAGGTTTTTGCTCACAGGGATTACTTTACAAACTACTTTACATTATTTGAAACTTAGGCCACGTTTAATATGAACATGCATTGTGATATTATATGCTGCATATGACCGAAAATAAGGCAAAGCACAATAGGTCCCCTTTAAAACATTGAAAACAGTGGATATAAAAAGACAAATTTCCATCTTGGAGTTTGGCATACCTAGTCTTACAACAGAAGCAGGAGCTATGCGATTTCTTATTACAAATAAGGTTCTATTTTTTAAGCTCATAGCAGACTTTTAAAGGACTAGCTCAACTTCTTGGGAAATACTTAGTTGAGCAGATTAATGCCACCCTCATGTCTGTGCGTCAAATAAGAAGCTGGAGCCAGGAAGCTTCTCTCTTAGCTCAGCATAAAGCATGAAGAAACGGCTAGTCTGACTCTGTTGAAAATTCAAAAACACGCCTACCCACATCTCCAAATCCCACTAATCAACATGCAGTATCTCCTTTCTTTAATGCAAACACATACAGAAATGTAAAAGCCACTATTTATGGTTTTAAAGGGGTCTCTTTTTCTATTTATTCCAGTCTTCATGCTAAGCTAGGCTAACCATCATTGGACTCAAGCCACATATTAAATGGGCATGACAGTGGACTCGATTCTTTTATCTACCTCTTGCAAAGAAAGCTTAAAAGGTTATTTCCCCAAATGTCAAACTATTACTTTAAACCAGCAACAATGGCACCAAATCACAGGACTGGTAAGTTTTTAAAACTTCACTTCAGTTAGATTTATTTTGGGGCATGGACGGTATTGTGTACTAGTAAAAAGGTATTCTTAGGTCTCTCTTAAAAAGCAGATTTTACTCTTATCAAAAATGCCTCATTAAAATATTGAAACATAAAACAAAGATAAAGAAGCATGTACAGAAGAGTCTCTGTCGTGCTCACACATACACACACTTACCCGCTGCTTGTCTGGATCCACATATCTGATGCCAAAATAGTCTTTCTCCAGCAAGTTGAGGTGGTGGCAGATGAGGTCAAACAGATACTGTCCCTTTGCATCCCGCTGTAACAGAACAGAAAAAAAACAAAAACTTCAGCAAGCATGCCAACAACAACAAATCACAAACATATTTGAACATGTGTCCAAGAAAAGATTCAACAAAGAAAAGGTACTGTCCTGAGTTCAAACATGAGAAATAATTCCTGCTAGCAGAATGTGCTTCAGATTTCTTTTTTTAAAACCCTGCCAGAGAGATCTCAGATTCATCCAATATTAATACACAGCCAGAGCCATCTGAAGTGTCTGGAATAAACCCCGTCCACAGCTAAAAGAGGAGCTCAAAGAGAGGATGGATTAAATATGCTGAAATCTCACTGGGGTTTTGCTAATACTCTGCATCCTGAACCTCATGAGGAAGCTTCCCTTGGAGAAACACTTGTGTATACTGCAGCACAGAGAGAAGGCTTGGTCCAGTGCTGTGTACAATATATATCTGATACCCCTCTTCCTGTTCACAACAATGTATCTGCATAACACTGCAGAACATCTTGGCTCAAACCAGAAAATCTGGATCAGACTGAAGATTTTCTTTCAGAGATCCAACAGAAGCACATAATACTGTTCGAAATGTCCCATGGCATCTGGGAGAGTCTTAGATGAATATGAGGGATACAATCATCATAAGTACAGTAATGAGAGATAATTACAACTGGGTGCATCACTGCGGTGAGCCAGGTAGAGTAATGAGTGACAGTGAGGTGCCACACAGTGCAAATCAGTGTCAATCACTCTGAAGGGCTAGAATCAAATCTGATGATCAATAAGACTGACAAGCAAATGTGAAAACTCACAAGCTGTATCATTATATTTAAAACATCAATATGCAAACCTGAAATCTCACAGGATCATAAACTGACATCTTCTAGGAGGTCACAGACCTCAAAATAGTTTTAATGAAATATGTAAACCTGCTGTCTGTGACATTTCAGCATCTTGACTCTTGACATCTGAGCACATTTCTGGTAAATGTGATGAGGTCAGAAGGTGGGTGTGATTAATCAGTGTCAGGAAGACAGCAAAAATTTAACCTGGAGCCACTCCAGTGCCGTTACTGTTCACTGTCTCCCTTCATGCCAGGGAGGCGTCATGCGCTCGTGCCACATCACAGACTTGTCTCAATGGGGGAGTTTTTTTTGGAGGAGTGCTTTAATGGGTCAGTCAGCACAAACACAAACAGCCATGAGGAGTCACACTGTTTATGTGCATTTGGAGGAAACTGTCAAAACGACTGTTTATCTAATGGGAACTGTTTTTTTTTTAAATTTTTTAATTTTTTTATTATGCTTACATCTTGTATAAGTAAAATGTGAAGACGTGGCTGTATGTCCATGCATCTGTTAAAGCTGCACTAATCCATGTTTTTATTTGTACAAGGGGTTACATGACTAAAACCCTTTTTACATTGCATGTTCAAGACAGGACTGTTGCATCGTTATTCCAAGTTGCCATTCTGTATAATAAAAAACAAACAAGGAACAAGTCGACAGCTGGCAGCGGAGGTAGCAACAGAGCCAAATAAACGTCTGTGTAAAAGGGACAGCCGGCAGGATGGGACCATGGACAGTACAGGTGTATTAGTCAGTGTGTTATGTAAGCGACCCACTGCTAGAAGATTTAAAAAGCAGCTAGAAGCAGTTAGCAGCTAACTCAAATAAGAGGAACAGCAACCGAAAGTGTCTGCAGACTGGGAAGCTCCTTTCCCTCCAAGCAGAGGATGAGATCCGCCGCCATGTAACAGTATAATATAATGATGTAATGATTGTTATTGCCATGTTGTGCCATTGTTATTTGTTAAGAAAGTGCAGCCCAACATGCATGCTATATGTCACACTATGAGCCAGTGATGTTGTGTTACATGTCACGCCCCTCACACCTCTTTTGCTTCTGCGATGCCAGCATTTTATGCCGCCATTTACTGGTTGTGTAAAAAAGCAAAGCCAGCATAATCTTTGCTGTGGCAGTATTTCTCTTTCAAATGGGCTTATATGAAATGTCACTAACAATTACGAACCCACCCAACTCTCTGAAGCATTTTAGTATTTTTAAGGTCATTGTTTTCAGTGTTTCCCTGACCCATAGCTCAGGTGATGTAATTGGTTCACTCACACTGCTCTCAACCAACCACACCGCACAGCTGTTTTCAACAATAAAACTGACCCCACTATAAGCTTACAGACTTATAGACATCTGGGGGCCAGAAACATGAATGCAAATGGTAATGTTACTCTGTCTGTGTAAAGAGGGTTAATATCTGATTTAACATAAGAAAGTGATATATCACTGTTACATTTATAGCTTGTTAGCCCACTCTAATATGGCCCAAAAAAAATTGAATGAATCCATGTTTAAGATGTGAATTATCATGCGTAGAGCTGAGTATCAGAGATCAATACCTCCTTAAGGGGGAACACCACCTAAATTATGAATTCCAATAAATTATTTCCATGGCCTATAGGAAAGTTCAATCAATATTTATGATTTCTGAAAGCCTGAATCCAGAAAAGTCCCAAACTTGTGATGTCCTAGGGTCTGAAGTCTTGATCTGCTCCACAGACAATGAATGGGAGACTAATTTTGTGGACTCACAGAATGTCTGTTTTCTTTTTTATACCCAAATGAGCTTTATCTATTGTAGTGTCCTCAGTCCTGAAACAGAAAATGTCCCCATATACTCAATAACATTTCCCCAGGTGCTCTCATTGTCATCCAGAACATCCTTCCCAGTTCATTGTGCGTGGAGTATCTCCAGACTTTATACCCGATGACATCACAAATTTGAGTTTCAGCACTATAGTTCTGGGATATGGGAGAGATTTGTTAATTTTTAGTAATACCTTTGGACTGTCTTAGACCATAGGAATTAAATGTATGAATTTTGAAAATGGGTGGAGTTCTCCTTTAATACCAACCAAAATATGTCTATGTAGTATCAAGCATTTAAAAGCTTTTGGTAGCTAGGTATCTAGAACAAACCCTTGATCAGCTGTTTGAGTTACATACAAATGGAAAACGGTTTTGTAGAAAAAGCGTTTATATTGTTTAAACATAAATCTTTCAAACAAGACCCAGTAATATTCATAACCATGATTAATTCCCATGTTGGCTGAGGTCTAATGGGCACTTAAGTCTCAGCTCTTCTAATGGCTCATGAGGAGGTCAGCTGAGGTCAAGGTTGGATAACTACAGTCGGCCGTCTCACTCCTCCTTCCTCTCTCTCTCTCTCTGCTCGTTACCTTGTAAAGACAACTAGAAGTGTCAGTGGCAGCACTCTCCTCCGTGTCATTACTCAGGCTGCAGATAAAAGGCACTTCATTAGGACAAAGGCCTGTCGATGCTGAGCTTGTCGCTTAACCGCCATGACTCTCTGTGACCAAATGCCGATAGGAGCTCCGCTACTGGAGGTAACTGACCTTTCTGTAGCGAGACAGAGGGGCTTCATGGGTGCTCGCCACTGTCACTTTGAGATTATTCCCTCTTTGTAACATTACTAACCAATCTGACATGCCTGCTAACTTCAATAAAGCCTTGATAAAACAAAGAAGGATCCTCGTAGCAGGCGCGGACACGTTTACAAAGATGCATTGACCGAGCACAGACAAATGTATACACAAATAAAATTTAAAAAAAACAAAACAGAAAAAACACAGATGCGCATGATGAATTTTGCAAACTATTATCATTTGACTCTATTAATCCGTATGTTTAAATGCTCTTTAGGAAGTTGGTTTTCACAAGCTTGATACAGTGAGCTGGTTACTTAAAAAAAACATCCATGGTCAAGGTAGGGGATTAGATAAAGATGATTTCCCAGCTACATTTATCCTTGAGAAATAGCATTTCTTGTTCAAGCATACACTTTATATCTGCCAGTCCTGCATTATCTAAATCTAAAAATATTCTTTTCCCTGTTGAAGGGCTTTTTTTGGGGGAGTTTTTTCCTCATCCATTGTGAGGGTCCAAGGACAGATGGCTGTCGTATGCTGTAAAACCCTCTGAGGCAAACTGTGATTTGTAATATTGGGCTTAATAAATAAAACTGAATTAAATCAAATTGAATTCTGGTTGCAAGCACTTAAAATAGAAAAAAAAGATACAATTAAAGCTAAAAATATTCAGGGTAAAGCATGCCTCCTCCTCTGGGTTTATTACTGGGCTGAGAATCCTGCTAGAGGGAGCAACAAAGCCAACCACAAATTAAAAAACGGTTCTGTATGGAGAGGACACACTGAGTCAGAAAAGACATCTGCTCTTTTGTTGCAAGGAGAGGGCAAGTTTGTTAGTATTCAACAGCACTCCAACCAGCACCCTCCCGCTCCCCCCCCCTTTCTTGCTCCCCAGTGCCCCCTACATCCATCTCTGCCCCACACCGACCACAGCTGCATTATTCCCCCGCTGGTCCCTCTAATTACAAGACTGAGGTCATTGTGGGAGAGAAAGGATGTCCTGAAATTTCTAATTAACACTAATAGACCTTTTCCTCACCTCAACTGGCATCTCAATAAAGCCCTACAGGAGCCTCGGCAGATTTATGTAAGGGTTTATTGGTTTGACCTGTGGTGGGAAGAGTTTTGAAACAGCCAGGTGACCAGGTGGGACCCTGTCAACATCATTCAATCCTACTGTGTTGTATTTTTGCAATAAATATGATTCCGTCACCTCCCTATGAAAATAAAAATAATAATTAAAGTAGGGATGCAGCCATTTATCTGCCATACATAGGTGTTGGCCAATATCCACCTTGCTGACTTCCATCAGCCTCTCAACAAATAACATTCACCGATGCAAACGGCCCAATATTTCATTGTGCAGGATAAAAAGCAGGGCTCAATGACCAGCATCATCCTGTCGTCCCAGGTACAACAGAAAACACAGACCCCTTCGGGACGAAATGAAGGCAGTAAATGCACCCTTTTTTTACCTGATAAATTTGTGTTGAAATCGGCAGGAGGAGAGCTATTACACGTTAGCAGTTAGCAGTCAGTGGCTGGAACTAACTGCTTATG